GGGGCCGACTCGACGGCACATAACAACAACAACAACAACATATGTATGTGAAAGCTGGACAATGAATAAGGAAGACCAAAGACAAACTGATGCTTTTGAGTTGCAGGTACTGGTGAAGAATACTAAAAGTACCATGGACTGATAGAAAAACTAATAAATCTGTCTCAGAAGAAGTACAGCTGGAATGCTCCTTAGAAGTGAGACTGGCCAGACTTCATCTCACCTACTTTGGTCATACTGTAAGAAGGGACCAGTTCCTGGAGAAGGGTATCATGCTTATTGAAGTGGAAAGTCTATGAAAAAAGGGAAGGCCCTCAATGAGATGGACTGACACAGTGGCTGCAACTAAGGGCTTAGATAAACCAAGGATGGTGAGGCTGGTGCAGGACTGGGCAGTGTTTCATTCTGTTGGACGCAGGGTCACTATGAGTCAGAGCCAACCTGATGGCACCTGACGACATAATTAAGTGGTATTCAAAAATAGGACTATACAAAAATGGCCCTCTCTTCACGCCACCAATAAGCAGCATTCAACTTTTATATGGAAAATGGGGGGCTTGTGCTCAGTACTGCCCCTCACACTGTTTTTCTCCGTTCACTAAAGCAGTTCTCCTACTATCCGTTTGGACTCAGGGCCCCTTGACACTTAAAAATTATTGAGAATCCCAGATAACTTTATTTGTCTTCAATCTATCAATATATACTGTGTTAGAAATTAAAACTAAGAATTAAGAATATTCATTAATTTAAAAAGTAGTAAAACCATTACATATTGACATAACATCTTTCATGGAAAACCTCATTATATTTTCTAGAACAAAAACAGATAGCAAAGAGAATGGCACTGTTTCACATTTCTCCCATCTCTTCACCAGTTTTGCTAAACAGAAGATCACTGCATTTATATGTCAGCTTCTGTCTTCATTCTGTTGTGATAAGTTGCTTTGGGAGAAGCATATAAAGGCAATCAAGCCTCACACAAATATGTAGGTGTAAAAAGGAAAAGTATTTAACAGCCTCCTCAGATAATAGTGGACATCCTCCTTTGATATTACACCAAAACTCAACAAGTAATAATTTCCTAAGGGTTAATTGTGATGTGAAATCTAAAACCAAATCAATGAGCTTTTCATACTGTTACATTAAAACCACTGGTTTATCTTGCACTTGGAATGGAGTTTCACCCATGCATGATGGTGCAACATTACACAGTGGTTACTAGGAGAACATACTATTCACTGAGGTGTGCAGAGCTCCCAAACGTGGACCCATTTCATTACACAGTATCAAAAAATCCTATTCGTTAGCATCAACCTTATCAGAGAAGCCTAAGTATCGGGATGCTAAGCTGTCAAGCTCAGAGTGCGAATACAAGTTTTCTGAGAAT